TTATCCGGGTCCATTTGTCCTCGTAGCGCGTATGCGTCATTCACTCTAGGTGGCAGCACCATCACGGGAACAGGAGACTGCTGCTGGCGAATGTCGGCCACATATCCGAGCATGACATCCACTGACCCGTGCGAGGCGCCCGACGCACGTTACGCGTGCATGGGCGAGAGCCCACCACTGCGGCGGCCCTGGGTGTGACCCTGCCGTCCGAGTCTGGCTGCGGCGTGGTGGCGAGATCAGCTCGACCCCGAGGTCAGCCCGAGCCCGAGGTCAGCTCAAGCTCAAGGTCATCTGAAGCTTGAGGTCAGCTCGATCCCTAGGTCAGCTCGACCCCGAGGTCAGCTCGAGCCCGAGGTCAGCTCAAGCCCAAGGTCAGCTGAAGCTCGAGGTCAGCTCGATCCCGAGGTCAGCTCGACCCCGAGGTCAGCTCGATCCCGAGGTCAGCTCGATCCCGAGGTCAGCTCGACCCCGGGGTCAGCTCGAGTTCAAGGTCAGCTCGACCTCGAGGTCAGATCGAGCTAACCGCCGCGCATCTCACACCAGCAGACGGTACATGGCGGCGAGCGCGACACCGATGACCAGCGACGGCGCCGCCATACGCCCGCGCGACGATCCGAAGAAGTCGGGGAGTTTGAATGCGTTACCCTGCAGGTCTGCAACAGCACAGAACAGCGCATGAGCGCATATTTGCGTTTGATAACTCTCTCTGTGCGTTCTAAATCCCAGCACATCATAGGCACAGAATGCCACTTTTTTCTGCCACCATGCCGCCAACTACAGGCAGCATACAGACACGAACCGTCCAAAACTGCATTCATGAGACCAGTAGTGTCTCCCCCTCCCCCCCCCCCTTTACTCCCCCGATCCCGTAGCGTGCTGATGCATCGCTTTAACAAAGAGACGTGGCTTCAGGACGCATCACTACAGCCTCTGTCGCTCGTACCTTGGTATCGCTCGGTGTCTTCGGGGTCGAGCGCTCCGCAGAGGTCGTAGGGCACCGTGTTCTTCCTGGCCGAGTTGAAGTAGCCCGGGATGAAGATGGTCGGACCGTCCACACGGCCAAACGAAAACAGGCGGTTGAAGTCGTACTGCAGTTTCTGCGCTTGAGGACCTGATTGTAGACGGCAAAATACAGTTCAACTTTAATAAGTGTGCGCAATAGTTAAGCCAGGAAGCCACAAATGTCGCACCCAGTGACTGTAAAATTGTAAAAAGCGCGGGTAGAGCACCATTTGTGTTTTCTTACGGTCAACTTTTATTTGAAAACACATTCAATTTCGTTTTGGATTTTTTGGAGTCGTTCAGCTCACAAAGGCTTGCTCATTTCTAAATAATTGATGAATCACTATCTCGCACTATCCCCGCACTGTCTCGCATTGTTTAAGCAGCATACTCCTCTGTGAAGCTGAGTCAGTGATCAGTTAAACTGCCTATAAAAACATCATCAGATCGTAAAATAAAGAAATGTATACTTACCCACTCACCGCTCTGCCGCCGTATTACCTGAATCACTGATCCATTTAGTGCAGCGGTAATACGGCCGAAACGCCCTGGCAAGTGGTTTTGCCTGCAGGGGTAGCGAATGGAGCATCGAGCGCCTCGTTTGTATGGGGTGTTACCAATGATAATGGAGTACCAAACGGTGTGTTCATATTGGGTGTTACCGATGATAATGGAGCACAGAGCGCTTTCTTTGGATGGGGTGTCCCCGATGATAATTGAGCACCGAGCGCTTTTTGGTATGGGGTATTACCAACGGTACTGAAACATCGAGCGCTTCGTTTGCATGAGGCGTTAAAAAAGATAGTGGAGTGTGATTAGTGCAGCCATGGGTTTGTAGGTAGCGTTCTGCTGTATATTTGCCCCAACTTTGCACGGTTAAAAGGTGTCTGACAGGCAATCGCTCCAATAGTGTCATGACGCCACTCAATGGTGAGGCTGAGAGCTGGGTTGAGGGAATTCACATATCAATGGAGGCGTCTAAGGCTGAAGGTCCTTGCGCCAACACCCTGCAATGTCATCTACGTACCTCGCATAAAAGCTTTGATTGTCGAGCCTTTTTGAGTGAACGCGAGGAACAGTGATTCAATGGCACTCATAAAAAGATTGATGGCTAGTGGACTGGGGCTACCCTACCGTGCAACGGTTACTCTACTGCCGGTCATTTGTTTACAGATATTCAGGCCCAAATCTGGCGTTTGCAAATATTTGTTAGTTCTGTTTCCGTAAAAATGTCCGCCGTATACGCTGAAACAAATCGCTTGTGATGTAAACCCACATGGAAAAGCACCATCCATTTTTTTCAGTCTTGTTAATATATTCGGATGTGTTGCTGAGGTGTGCTGGTACGTGAGCTAACAGCTGCGTTATCATTCGCTCAAAAAGCAACGTTAAGTTTATCAAGGGGGACTCCAACATGCCCAGACTATGGGACAAATGAAATAAACCTGAGTATTGACTACTAGCGGCTCTGTAGTCGGAGTAAGAATCAGGCTACTGTACTGAGTGTACCGTGACTCCAAATCACATGATTTCTCAAAGGGTGTGCGTTAAAAAAATGGTATAAACGCGACGCCTGAAACTTAAGAGAGATCGAAAATATGTGTGCTTAGCCTTCATGAACTATATCAACACCAATGCAATACAAAACGGCACACCTGTTTTCATCTCAGAAGCCAAGATGCAAGCACATTGTTTCGCTTTCTATATTGTGCAGCGTTACCTTACCTCTAAAGTGAATGGTGAACTGTACGCATCTTCCCAAGTTTGATCTCCAGGGTTTCTTGTTCGTCGATGAAAATGAACCATTCTGGAGCCTGCAGCACCTGTCTCACTGCGTGGATGAACTGTGACCTGATGAAGGCGAAACACATGTGGCGTCTCGAGAGAGCGAGAGCGAGAGTGCGCGCGAGAGAGCGCAAGAGAGAGTGAGAGAGAGAGAGGGAGAAAGAGCGAGAGAGAGGAAGAGAGGGAGAGAGGAGAGAGAGGGAGAGGAGAGTGAGAGAGAGGGAGTGAGAGAGAGTGAGAGAGAGAGAGGAGGAGTGAAGAGAGAGAGAGGAGAAGGGGGAAGTGAGGAAAAGAGAGAGAGAGAGAGCGAGAGAGAGAGAGAGAGAGAGAGAGAGAGAGAGAGGAGAGAGAGGAGAGAGAGAGAGAGAGAGACAGATAGAGAGAGAGAGAGAGAGAGAGAGAGATAGAGAGAGAGAGAGAGAGAGAGAGAGAGGAGAGAGAGAGAGAGATCGTTTCTGGCGTATCCTGCGCCGCTCGGAAAGTTCGAACACAGCGGCCGTGATCCCGCTGATCCGCCACTTGGTGTGGCTCTGGACCGGCCGGCCAGTGGGTACCCGAGTGAAGAAGGCAGACTAGCGCAAGGCATTGGTTCCGGTTTGTTGCGGTGCACACTTGGTTGCCATGAGACTGGCCATTTTCGGCTGATTTATCGAATGGCAATGATGAGCCTCTGCCAAATGGAGCGCCTTGATTTGTCCACAGAACTCATAAAGATGTTCAGTAGTGCTTTTGATTACATTGAGAATAACTCACGCCACGAATTTGGGCAGCTTCCGGATGGAGACGCGCTTGATGATGTCGAAGTCGGGCTCGATGTTGGCGCAGGCGTAGCGGTTTGAGCCCCGGTTGGCCTCGAATATGATGACCGACTTGCCAATAGCACTGTGCCAGAAATCGCCATCTGGAAGGGTGAATGGCAGCACTTGGGTCACAATCTAAATAAGATCACGGAAACCAGTGTCACACTCTTACTTCGCAAAGGTAAGGCCGCTGTCCTGTCAGTCTCAGAAATATGTTCCAATGTGCCAGGCATGCACACCGCGTGACAGAAAGGTTGCGAGTCCTCTTACCCCTTAAAATACCACGCGCAATCCCGTGACGGGAAGGTGCTGTAGTCCAGCGTAATCCCCGCAAAATATAAGGTGCAATTGCCTCACTAGCAGGCATCATTAAGGGCAGATTTTTAAACGTGGGAAATGAATAAAAAAGACACCGCTAGAATAGAAAGAACGAGCATAGAGACTCCGAAATCTGTCGAGGAAGAGCCCAATCTTGTGCCACAAGACGGTCTCGAGACGCTTCCGGAGGTCTCACCGAGCGGCAGGTTGGGGTCAGACATGACCACCCGCTTCTGTCCGAGGTTGATGGTGCCTAGCCGACCGCCGAGGTCACCGATCTCGCAGCGCAGAGGCGTCTCTGGACTGCACTCCTCGTTGTAGAAGTCATGCTGCCAACACGTGCAGTAGTCTGGCGTTGGGTGCAATTCGGATTGCTCAGTGGCATTACCAAAGCTAAGCTAGCTATGCACGTGTGTAGCCAGTTAGTTTTTAGCCATCAGTTTTTTTCGCGTTGACGCGCAAGTGCTATGCTAATAAACCCCCTACTGAATTTTCAAAAAAGGTGGAGTGTCTCCAACACTGAACATACTGTTGAGAGTTTTTAATGTAGCTAGCTGTGGAGGTGTCTGGCTGCTTTAGCTCAGGCTTTGTAATTCTCTACATGGTAATAACTGACAATTCTAAGAGCGCCATTGCTCCGCTCCTCTTACGCCGCACCGGGCGGCGTGCGGTTTTTTAAAGGAGCGGGTTCTTTCATTCTCCCGTCCTGACAAACAGTAGTGGCAGCAACCGCCAATCAGCAGTGATGAATAAACGATGACTGACTACTGATGCACCTGGGCATGCATCCCGTGCCGTGGTACCAGTTGCACTGCGCCTTACACACCACCAGTGCGCCAGAATTAAGAGGCACTATGACCTCCTAAGCCTGGAACTACGCACTGCGAGAACATCGGCCAAGAGCCGTGCGAGGACCGTTCACAGACTTGCCGCGCCGCACGTCGACACGAGCCAGTGGGAGCCAGTGCTGTGCTACGTACGGCGTTGGGGTTGGCCAGGTGGATGAAGTCGGGGTTCCAGCGGTAGCCGCCAGCCGTACAGCGAGACGTGAAGAACTGCACTGCCGCGTCGTGGCCCACCGGGTTGACAAAGATGGCCCAGTTGTGGTTGCTGGTGACGTTTCGGTCATTGGCGCCCGGATGACGCAGGTTCAGCTCGATCACCGTCTCACTGCGCCCTCCGGTGTGGTATACCAGCTGGCTCTGACGGCCGCGGCACAACGGCAAGGTCACGACCGTAACCGCAAGGTCACTCCCATAACGGCAAGGTCACGGCCACAGCCGCAAGGTCACGCCCATAGCAGCAAGGTCACGACCATAGCTGCAAGGGCATGGCCACAGCGGCAAGGTCACAGCCACAGCGGCAAGGTCACGACCGCAGCCGCAAGGTCACGCCCATAGCGGCAAGGTCACGGCCACAGCCGCAAGGTCACGCCCATAGCAGCAAGGTCACGACCATAGCTGCAAGGGCATGGCCACAGCGGCAAGGTCACAGCCACAGCGGCAAGGTCACGACCGCAGCCGTAAGGTCACGCCCATAGCGGCAAGGTCACGGCCACAGCCGCAAGGTCACGACCATAGCTGCAAGGTCACGACCATAGCTACAAGGGCATGGCCACAGCGCCAAGGTCACAGCCACAGCGGCAGTTATGGCCACACCCACATACGGGAGACCATTGACGCTCGCCATAGCACGACAGCTCTAGTCTGGTCCTCCACAGCAGCCATCAAGTGCTGGTTTTAACAAGATGTATTTGAAAACGAGTTGCAATTTCTTCAATAAAAAACGGCGAAATGCATCCCCAAAAACGGTCTATGGCGTCGTCTCATTAGACAAAATTTGCCACGATGTACACAGTCAATAAAAATGTCACAGCGAGGTAAGCGACTGGTAATCACTCCATGAGCATACTCAGATATGGATTAACTTAATGCACATAGTGAGCAGCTGTGGTTTGTTCTAGTTAAAACTAGCCCTTGCTGCTTTACATGCAAGGTAGTGAGCCTGCGGATCGTGTGTCAGCCACATACGCCTGGTCAAGCTGACTGTAAACGTATGCACCTTACAAAATCAGCCAAATGAGAGGAGACACGAGTCAGAACGATGGTCGTGTCACATCACAACTCGTCACTTACGAAGCGTATGTATCCCCAGGCGTAGCCCTTGGGGTGGTGAAAGGAGGCGATGGCGGTGACCTGGCGCGCCTCTGATGACGAGTAGCCCCACAGGATGTTGCCACACGCCCACCTGAGTGCAACAGGCAAAGGCACAGTCAACGATGACGGAAATAGTGGCGTTCCCCTCGAAGAACACTTGATCAGCTGTTCCAATTCCGCAATGGGAACAGCAATATGTAGGGGGAAATATGCTTCTTCGAACAAACCACGTGAACTATCAGCATCACTCAACAAATACTTTCTGTGTGCAGCCTCGTCTCCTTTATCATCCCTCATTGTCTACTAAAGCGATCCGAGATTGAAACAGGGTAAATATAACTGTGAGGTCTGAGTGTAACACCGTAGAACGACTTAACAATACATTGGGTGGATTTGAAAGGGTTAAAGAAGTCATTTTTGTCAATGTAGTTGCACTGTTACTGCACGGAGGGCACGATTGGTGTATTGCTTATAGATATCATTGTAAGCGTACTGTCCCTTACTTTGTGTATTGTTAGCAATGTGCTGCATTGTTAAACATGCCTTTAATATAACTTTACACGCATAGTATTTTGTGCAATTTCGATGTGTTCGCATCCATCACCAGGGCCCACATCAGTGTTTGAGGTGTAACAAACAATGCTGAACACCGAAAAACGCATCGGGCGAGAGCAATCTCCCGCCCAGGTCAAATCTCAGGACCTTCATCCTGTCAACTCTGTCTTATTGACAGTTTATCAAACGGCTTTGTTTGCATCCGATGCTGGACTCGGCAGCAAACAAAGAGGGCAAACTTCCCATCTACCGAATATTGATCTTGCCCAACACGATGAATTCGTCCCTCTTTCACCTGGCAGGTCTGAAACGTCGCTTAACACAAACAGGCTATGGAGAGGCAGGCCTGCGCGCCCGCCTTTCAGACGGAATGAACGAACTGTCTATTAACGCCGAGCCGTGATTGAAAGGCCGGGCAATGAACTCGGACGTGTGGTAAGTGAAAGGGAAACGGACCTGAAATACGCATCATTTCACTAAATAGAGTTGGAGGACGCGATTTGAGACTGCCCAGAGTGGCCGTCACTCGTCACACGGGGCCAGCGAATGTCACGAAGCTGGCGCCGATCTAGAAAATCCCATCCAATCGGTGCGTTTCTGCCCGGCCCGCGGGCACGCTCGCCGCCGCCTGGCATTGCCAGCTCGCTGTTGACAGACATGCTGTTGGTTGTGACAACGGATGCTAGATACGGAGAGGGGCACACTGGAGCTCCGAAAGGAGAGTCGCACTGCGAGCTGTGATGAATAGAATGCTGAGAGTAATGATGAATAACGTGCTGATGCGTGCGATTATTGATGTGAGTTTAACGAGCTGTAATAAACAGCGCGTACCGAATTGTGGTGAACAGCATGCCGTTAACTGTGTTGAGTGACGACTGACGTGCCGAAAATTGCGATCAATCACCCACATGACTTGCGATGAATGCTGCTGTGAGTTATGTTGCGTGCCATTTATGTTGCATGTCATACATTGAGTTGTGATGAATAGCACACGTCTAAACTAATGGTACGCTATGTGAGGAATGTTGCAAGTAATCCAATACCCTAATTTATTGTTGATACAATATTTTCGTCGTGCTGAAGTTATTACGTATTGATTATGAACATTCTAAGTTGCTATGATTCAAATATCATGAGATGCATGAATGACAAACGGCGCAGCATGACAAATGGCTCGTGAGTTAATGACAGGCCACATCACTGCGGACTGCAATGAGTGCCAGTCGCCAGACCGAGTTAAGCCGAATGACACACCGTGAGTTGTCGCCGGCGCGGTGGATGACCACACTCCGACCGAGCACCGTCTGCGGCCCGAAGAGCTGCAGGTTCGTGTCGTTGTTGAATCTCTCCACCGCCGACTGGTTGGTGAGCATGCCGTACTTTCCGCTCATGTCGCCCATCTGTGAAGCGCAGGACAGTCAGCGCTTCCGCTGGTCGCTGACTACTGAGCGTTGACCGCTGATCACTCACCACTGACTGCTGACTACTGATGCTTGACTGTTGACCGCTGACCGCTGACCACCCACCGCTGACTGTTGTCCGCTGAGCAATGACCGCTGACCGTTGACTACGCATGTAGTTACGCCAGAACATCGACCCTAAATGCTTTAAGCGAAATGAATAGAACCAGCCAAGAGCGCCGTCACCTGTCCCGAATGTCGCATCATCCAACGGCGTCCAGTCAGCGGGTCAGACGAGGTCCAGCCTAGTACTCACCACGTACCTCGTACCTCGCACTCACCTCGTACTGGTCACTGGAACCGTACCCCGGCGGCGGGGAAGTAGCCGGGTTCAGCTTGTATGGGTTGTAATGACCGCCCAGAGCAATATTGTGACACGGGAACTCGTTGTCCCGGTGTACTGGAACCTGAGGATGGCGGCAGGTATAACGTCAGCTCAGCGACTGGGGGTTCACGTCTCTCAAAACGTGCGCTTGTGGTGGTATGTGGCCGTACTGCTTATATTATAGCAGAGGTATCCACAGACATAAATGAGACCTCGAGAACCATATCACAATGCAAACACCTGTATAACGTTACGGGTTACCGACAGTGTTACGGGTTACCGACAGTGTCGTAGTTAAGCTGCGCGTCTGGGAGACCAGACGAACGGGATTCGATTCCATGCGGTCCCCGCCCTTCCTGCCGGGGTGAGAGGCAGGCGGCGTCATATAGCCTCAGCAGCTGAGTGCGTCGTTATGTGCCAACGGCACACATGCCACGTGTCTAACTGTACTCAGGCTGTGCTGGGCCGCGGAGAAGCACTGGTCTGTGAATGAGCAGCGACCATCTCACCAGGTGTATGTGATAGCCTCCGGCGATGCCTTCCAGACCCATCAGATCCGTCTCCGTGTTGGTGATGCTGTACGGAGACTCCTGGATGAACTCAACCTTGCCGGAGATGGCACCTTTCTTGTCTCCGTTGTAGGCCCATTCCTTAACCACTCCTTTATACCGGAATAGTCGTATAATCCTGAAAAGAAAATCAAGCTCAGTGCTTCCTGATAGCCCTCTGTCATCACGTGGCGGGGAGACAACAGTCTGTGAGCGCGGTGGAAATGAGAGCTAAAAGGAAAGTTGGGTACCAAAGGCATTTATACCTGATATCTTAGCATATCGACTTATTCAGCAGCAATGCTTGTGACCATAAGTGCGTGAGTGGTTCAGCTCAGCATATTAATGCTTGATCGCACCATTATTTGCGTAAGACTTAAATCGAGGGGTTTCAGCGATGCCATAACCATGATGCCTACCCACATCGCGGGCGGGCGCACTGTCGGCATGGGGGGGGGGGGGGCAGCCACACCGCGGGTGGGCGCACTGTCGGCATGGGGGGGGGGGGCAGCCACACCGCGGGCGGGCGCACTGTCGGCATGGGGGGGGGGGGTAGCCACACCGAGGGCGGGCGCACTGTCGGCATGGGGGGGGGCAGCCACACCGCGGACGGGCGCACTGTCGGCATGGGGGGGGGGCAGCCACACCGCGGGCGGGCGCACTGTCGGCATGGGGGGGGAGCAGCCACACCGCGGGCAGGCGCACTGTCAGCACGGCAGTGCACGGTACGGCACGCCGTAGGAGGGGGGTGGGGGGGGGGGGGGGGGACAGCCACGCCGTGGACGGGCGTACAGCCGGCGCGGGGGCCGGACCAGCCACTTACTCGACGCAAGCCAGGCGGTCCCCGCGGGCCTGCGGGCCGTTGTCATCATGGATGACGAGGCTGTGACCGATGATGGAGCTGGCGCCGGAGAGCGGCAGGTTTGTGTCCGTCCACATCCGCCGAGTTCTGCCGACCGCACAAACTCGGCACGTTACGGGTAATGCTGAGACGGGCGTGAGTTGTTGGTCGTGTGCTACGGTGTCGCAGGTCCAAAATGCAAGAGCGGTTTTGAGATGTCAGGCGTGCATTTTAACAAATGGTGCACAAGACATAAAATGACGTCACGCTTCCCAACAGCATGACTTCTAAATGTCACCAGACGATGCTGCTTCCAGACCATCAAGCCTAGAACCACAACTTCGAGGGATTAAACAGCCCAGACTTTGAATGGGGCAAGACCATGATCTGGGTCAAAAACGCTGTAAAGAGATCCAAATTCACAGAAGGCACTAGTGCGAACAACAGAGCTCCTCGGACGGGGAAGGGGGCTGAACACTCGTCCCTACTCGTTGAGTTTGCGTCGGAGCGCCGCCAGCTTGAGCGTGCCGTGCTTGCCGACCATGTCTGCCACCTCGCAGTTGCCCATGTCCTCCGGACCGCACGAGCGGTCGTACAGGCGCGACTTCACGTTCACCTGCCGGACAGGCCGAGCATGTTGTGACGAACCACACGTTCCAGTCAAACAGGACAGTGGAGACTGGCATGCTCTACAGATTAGACGGGGGCCTGGCGTATGCGCGGTAACGGGATATGTTTCCTAGCGGGTCCGGGGGCCTGTCTGTCAGCAATTAGCTTGGTCCGTTGTCAAACGTCAACTCAGGGCAGAGAAGGGTATGATGTAGTGAATACCAATTTCCTTGTCGCAGATGTGATGCGTTTTCAAAAGAATACACGATTAAGTAAAACACGATTCCACACCAGCCACACCGCTTGGCGCAGCGCGTGCCGCTCTCGTCCTCACCGAGTAGGGGTTGAAGTGGTCGCCGGCGCTGAGACAGCGGCCGCTCCAGTTGCGGAAGTCGGCGCCGGGCACCAGCTCGTTGACGTACCAGCGGTGCCAGTCCGAGCCGTTCATCGAGCCGTCGTTGAAGAGCAGACCCTCCACCAGCACGGTGGTGTCCTCCTCGGGCTCGTCCTCGGGCTGGTAGAAGAGAACCCGACCGCCCAGCGGAAAGCGGAACACGGCCGCCGCCGTCACCATTTTGCGCGTGTCCTGCAGGTTGGCACAGATCCACGGCTTGTTCGGTGCCCCCTGCTCCTTTTCCTCCTCCTCGGCGGTGGTGAACACGAGCGAGCGGCCCACCACGGAGCGCGGCCCCCACAGCGGCAGCCGGAAGTCCGTCACGGCCGACTCGAAGCTGTCCAGGCCGGTGAGACGGCCGTGCTTGCCACTGATGTCTCCCAGCGGGTACTGGTCGTGCGTGGCGGCGCCGGCCGGCTCCGTCAGCGCCGCATCCACCTCGGTCGGGTTGTAGATGTTCGCGACGCGAGCGCACGGCGACGCGTCTCGACCGTCGCGCGGCGGCACGGGCAGCGTGTGGATGCCGAAGGTGGCGGCGCGGCCGGCCAGCCCGCTGATGTTCAGCAGCAGCTGGGTGGGCTCGAAGCGCGACCGCTGGCTCAGGCCGACCACGCCGCGCACGCCGTCGTAGGAGAGGAAGGCGCGGGCCGTGCGCGGCCGCACTAGCCGCAGCTTGGCGCAGGCCAGGATCGAGTCCGGGTACGCCTCCTCGTACAGCACCAGGTACGCGCTGCGGTAGCCGTTGAGCGGCGGGAGCTCCAGCGTGTCCGAAGACCAGAACTGCTTGGAGAAGCGCGACCTTCGACCGGTGACCTTGACCTTGCCGAGTCGGTGCAGCAGGTCACCGGCCTTGCAGAACTGTGGCGTGTCGTCGCTGCAGCGGGCAGCGTCAGCGCTGGTCGGGTCGTACACCAACTGAAGGAAGTTGCACGAGCCTCGCATCTCATCTGGCAGCGGCAGAGAACCGGGCTCAACGCAGAACAAAAAAGTGAGCAGAACAAACAAACAAGCGATCTCATGTGACAAAAAGGCTCCGGCATTATATCCAGACATTACTCAACACATAATGCGTTCGAGATTGTTAATTGAACTAGCATATACATATATTTAGAACTGACGAAGGGCAGCGTTGTCTGGGGCATACAGACGTGTCGCACAAAGTTCGGACAATTTAAACGTATCACAAACTTCCCATGCAATATTGGAAAGTCACGCAGGCGGCGTCCCAAAGCTCCAACCGTCTGACGGGCAGTACAGTGGGCGATTCACACGCGCCCGGCTGGGGAGTTGACATCCGCTACGGTTTTTCGAGCATAGGTAAAAAGCGAACGATCTCAGCAACACGGCATTTCCAGTAACTCTATATGCATCAATTTGGCATCGTTGTTTCAAATTAAAAGTTTTGATCTACGAAAATAAATGATCTAGATCAGGTCAAAGAGGTCAACCTCTAAAAACTTTGAACACTCGTAACTTTTTGTGGGTCATTTTCCATCGTTCAACCTTGTCATAGCGATAAAGTATGATATTGCCTACAGCTTGTGTGTTTCATATTTTTCAGAAAAGGCGACGTCAGGCACCTAAAGGCAGGCCAACCTTTTCTACCTCAGGTCATGACCTACAGCTGTAGGTGCCTTCTGCAAAACACATAGTGAGATCAAAGCACGCAGTTTAGTTATGAAATTTGCCATGCATAATTCAAATACTCCACTAACAACATGTTGTGAAAGCATTCTAAAGCATAATGAGGCCATGTGAAGACATGTAAAGTAATATCAGGTCATCCAAGGTCAATGACTTCGGCAGCCAGTAGCTGAGAGGCTCGATGAACAAGTACAATGCGCGTAAGCACCTAATTGTCGTGTTTGTGAAGCGGATGACGCATAATTGCAGTCACCGACGTACCTGTTCTCAGTTTATCAAAACTTATTTCCAAGCACCGTAGACATTATATGCATATATATATATATATATATATATATATATATATATATATATATATATATATATATTTGTGTGTATATAATTCATACAATAACTATGCGATCTTGAGTATCTGCAGATGTACAGTACACCATTTTGGGTCGTACAGAAAAACGGTGCACTGGTCACATACGCCCGACTAGCACTTCGTTCTCGTTCTAGTTTTTGTAAGCTGCTGGTGGACCAACCTTGAACGATGGCCTGATCTGATCTGCATTCTAAATTCTGATCTGATCTGATCTGATCTGACCCATGTGGTGGAACAAAAATGATCGCAGTGGGCTCCTAGCAGTCCAGCCGCTGATTTCCCGTGTCCTCGATATCCGTCTTGGCGTGTTAACACACGCCCGGGGCCGAATGACCCTTCGCTCAGGTCGATGGTTAATATAGCTCACTGATATCGCAAAAACTAAGATAGCTAAACACACCAAATTCGCAGATTTGATTGGCCTACCTGTGAACTCACTTATATCGAAAACTGGGGCTCTTCGGTCGTGACCTCGGGCCAATTAAGTCAAGCAAGGTTAAACGTTAGACTGGTGTCTCAAGTGCCCCCAGACCTTCTCACGATACCACCGTGAAGCCATCTAAGCAAGGGGTCAAGGGTGATCAACTAAGGCAAGTGAGGCTGTTTGACCTTTATATGGTTAAGGTGACATCATGCCTGCGACACTGCTACTATTTTGCGATTAAAATAGGCGTCAGGGTACGCGGTATGTTCCTAAAAAAATGCTGACCTGGGCCATTGTAGGTCAGTGACCTACCCTAACTTAAGAAAGCCCGTGGAACATGTCTGTTGCGGTAACTATCACTATCAAATTCGAAATGAACACCAGAAATTATTTCATAAACCTAACTGTCCAGTAAAAAAAAACAGGCTACTTTTGACCTTATTCGGACCTGCATACCTGACTGAAGGTCAATCACATTGGTTTTTGTTCTAAGGCCACATAGCTAATAGCCAAAGAAACTATCTCAAATGTGTATAGCTTCATCTAACCCTCCGATGTTTCATCACATTAGACGATTCCCTAGAAATGCCCTTCGCTGACAGCCATGGTCTGGTCTGACCTGTCATAGGTCAGTGACCATACCAAGTGCATCCAAATGATTCACATAAAAAGTTTGTCAATCCATTCTCTATAGCCATGCAGAGTTTGGCACGGCTACCCTTTGCCGTTCGGAAATTCTTCCGGGGAAAAAACGTCGGGGTCAAATTGATGCCCACCCTAGCGCGTGTTAACACAGCTTTTAGCTGCAGCTATCAGAACGACCGCTTTTGACCTTTTGTAACCTTTGGTGAGCTTATATT